ATGATGGCTAAAGAGATAAGTGTATGGATATGATTCGATCCTAACTGCTTAGGAATATCCAGGATCGGAAGATGGTTTGATTCCGTGTGAAGCCATCTTCCATGAAGGCCTAAGTGCTAGAGGAAACATACAGCTGTATCTGGTTGGTGACTACGAAAATGAAGGCATTAGCAATTCTCTGGGGATGATGCAAACAGTCCACAAACCAGTGAAGTTCAGGGCCACACAAGCCAAGAAGCCTCACACCTTCTGAAAGGCAGAGTTTGAATAGACCAGCTCTCCTTTCGTGTGCTCTTTCTTTCTTTCTTTTTTAAATTTTTTCTTCTTTTCACATTTCCAGGGTGCAGTTTCTCGAGGTCCACTCTGAGTTCTCTTCTAAAGGTTTCTTTATCATTTAATATTATAAATAATTATGTTCCCAGGCGGCAGTTCAAAGCTCACTGCTGCACTTGTACTACACCCCCCGGGCGGGTCAGGTGACCTTTCTCCCAATTCTGCTCTCTCTGATCCCGAGGACAGACAAAGTGATGTGTCTGTCACACGCCATTACCATTAGAACAGAATCTTGTTCTTTTATTACAACTGAACTCCGCCAGATTTCTCAGCAGGAATGCTAAGTGAAATCAATGTCTTGGATTTCCAGGCTGAGCTTGGGGTCAGAGACACTCTATCATTTCTCGGTATTATTCTTCCTTTCACAGCCTCACAGTCCCCTCGCCTCCAACTGGCACACAGCAGATTAAAAACAGCAGGCCATAGAAGACTCATGCTGCCCAGTTTTACAGTCTTTGGAAACTCCTCCTTTTGATCTCCCTCTCTCCCCCCCCCCCTTTTATTTTTTGCAAATTGCAAATAAGTTTTGTTTATGGGAGCTAAGGCAAAAGGCACATCCAGGAAGGGGGGCAGGTGATAAAACTCAGAGAAAGAAATCACTTGATTTTTGACAGCTGTCAGCAAGATCGCTGTGCCTAGAGGAGCTCCCGGATAGAACTTCCCATGCCATTGTTCCAAACAGCAAACGTCCTTTATTATTTCAACCATCGCGTCAGGGGATGGTTAATGCTGAGCTCTCAGGTGATATGGGACTGTTCTAGACTAATAGAGATATGAAACAAAAATGACCTATAAAGCATTCAGCGATGTCCGTACCTCCCGCAGGACACTCATACTTGATTCTTTAAAAAAAAACCCTTCACGCTCTCATGTAGAAATGTTGGTCTCGGGTGATGAGAATACCAATTCACAGGTTGTCCTGGGCCTTTCTTTATTCACTGAGTGGGTGGGGTGTGCTTCATGAAAATGACAGAGATGATATTAACTGGGCGTGGCTGTTTTTGTTGTAATTTACTTTGTTTTGTGCTGGTACTGGGGGCTTGAACTTAGACCTTTTTGCTCTTAGCTTTCTTAATCAAGGCTGGTGCTCTACTGCTTGACCCACACTTCCATGTCTGGTTTTTTGGGAGGGTAAGATGAGTCTCATGGACTTTGATGCCTAGGTCTGGCTTTGAATCAGTATCCCCTGAGGAGTGACTAGAATTTCAAGGGAGAGCCATCAGCACCCAGCTAGCATGGATATTTTGTGTGTGTGTGTGTGGGGGGTGTGAGTACTTGGGCTTGAACTCGGGTCCTAGGTGCTACCACTTAGCTCTTTTGCTCAAGGCTAGTACTCTACCACTTGAGGCACAGCGCCACTTCTGGCTTTTCTGATGGGACTGAGGAATCGCACTTAGGGCTTCACACATGCTAGGCGAGTACTCTACCAATGAGCCACAGTCCAACCCCTGAAGACTAATTTTAAAAACTGATTGGACTCCAGAGCTAAACTTTAAATTATATTTCTAAATTATATGCAATCCAGGCAATAGAAGCAATCATTCAGATTGAATAGATGGAGGTATAAAATTGTAACCTGGGACCAAACTTTTAACATGAACCAAACAACTGAACTCTTGTGTGCTGACTACATGTGGTGGCGATGCCTAAGGGAATATACTGCCTTGTCGCTCATAAAAATGTTTCCTATCTATGGCAAAACAAACCTTCTGCGATTGGCCAGTGTTACCTCAGAAAGAATCAGTCAACATTTGGATGGATAGTTGGATGGATGGATGGATGGGTGGATGGATGAAACGATGGATGGATGGATGGATAGTTGGATGGATGGATGGATGGATAGTTGGATGGATGGATGGATGGATGGGTGGATGGATGGATGGATGGATGGGTGGATGGATGGATGAAAGGATGGATGGATGGATGGATGGATGGATGGATAGTTGGATGGATGGATGGATCGGTGGATGGATGGATGGATGGATGGATGAATAGATGAGCAGATGGATGGATGAGGAGGTACATGGCTAGGTGGCTGGATAAGTGGATGGCTAGGTGGATGGATGAGTAAATAGATGGTTGGGTGGATGGATGGGTGGATGACTGAGAGATGGATGGATGGATGGATGGATGAATGACTGGATACATACATGGATGGCTAGATGGGTAGATGGGTGGATAGATGGATGGATAATTGTATGAATAGATAGATGGGTAGCTGGGTGGAGAGATGGCTGGCTAGCTGAATGAATGAATGAGTGAATAAACAATGAACAGGAACGAGTGGACAAGACTGTTTGACATTCAAAACTTCCTAATTATTTGTAGAAGTGATTTGGTGAGAAGATATTCCTGATACAAAGACTAAGAAATAAACAAATCTGCTCATCAATGTAAAAGTGATCGACATGCTACCCTAAAATCCTAATGTGTGATGCCCTATTGTAAAGCCTCTTCATGAAACATGGCGTCTGCACTAGCAAATCCAAGGAAAGAAACAGAGTACGGTAAGGCTTCCATGTCACGCTGTGCTCGAAGTCAGCCTGTCTGTGCAACACATTACAACTGCTGGCCCGTGGAGACGCCGAAATACCACTGCCTTAGAACTCAACTTCATCCCATAAATGTTACCATGATCACCCTGTTTGAAAAAAAATCTACGCACTGCTGCGATTAGCGAGCAAAGCAGGCCGGGGCTTGGACTTGAACATTCAGCGCAGACTAAGGGATGTCACTGCACAGCTCAAACAGGACTTCAAAGGGGTGTGTGGCTCGCCTCTCCTGTCCCTGGGAGGCAAGGCGCTTCACTGTGGATTTTCACACATTGCCGGCAGTCATGGTGCACGGTCTTTGTCTACATCATGCTGGAGTCCCAAATGGACTTCTCATTTAACCACACAGAAAGGGAGCTGGGCATTGTGGGAGAATGGAGGGTTTTACGGGAGCATCCTTCACTAGCCAGTTGGATGGAGAAAGACTATTTTTACTTGTTGGACTTCTTTTCCCTCACATTATTTCTTATAATTCATTTATCTGGTGCGTTTCGTGTGTGTGTGTGTGTGTGTGTGTGTGTGTGCGCGTGCGCGCGCGTGTGTGCACAGACTAGTATTGGGACTTGAACTCAGCGCCTCTCCCTTTTTTATGGGTTTTGTCTTTTTTTTTTTTTGCTCAAGATTGGAGCTTTACCTCTTGAGCCACACCTCCACTGCTGGGTTTTTGGTAGTTCACTGGTGACAAAGAGTTTCGCAGACTTTTCTACTCAGGCTTGCTTTGGACCAAGAGTCTCAGAACTCAGCTTCCTGAGTATGGAGGATTCCAAGCTTGTGTGTTCCCTTCAACTACTGTGTCTACTCTGATCCAAATCATTTTAGGAGATCGCTGCAATCCATGGAATGCAGAAGGGAGGCAAACTTGATAGGAAAACGTACTATTGGGTGCTGAATTAACGTTCAGTTTCCCACTTGATGTTTTCTAGTATAGTTGGACTACTAGGAGAGAGTCTCGGCAAGGGGAAACTGTGTGGTCATTCTGCCCGCTTTCACAGGAAGCTTAATGTATTCACAGAATGTAATGTAAGTTCAACAAATGCAAACACATTTCACATCTATTTCTCTGCTTCTCCCTGAGACACATACATTAAGACAAAATGGTTTCTAAACAGTCTCACTTCTAACACTATTATTATCTTTATTTTCATTACACGATAATCTCAGTGGATGAGTGAAGAATCTGTATCTAAAATTGCAACGATGCTATTCCACATTATAACAGTTATTGATATTTCATTTTAAAAACACTCCATATGTCCTAATCCTACTATTTCAATCGCTCCTTCATTGGCAAACACAATCACTGGTGACTGAAGATAGGCTCCTCCAACATATTCTAACTATGTACTTCATAAAGCTCATTATTGTGGACCATGCAGTATGATTACTTGGCTGTTTTGTACAAATACCTTTCTTTTTCTTTCTTTTCTGTGTAGGAACTAGAGCTTGAGTGCAGGTCCTTAGCTTGTTCACTTTTTTACTCTATTACCTGAGCCACAGCTCCACTTCTGGGTATTTGTTAGTTGACTGGAGATAAGAGATCCTCGTGGCTTTCCTATCTGAGCTGTGATCCTTAGATCTCAGTCTCCCGATTGGCTGGGATTACAGGTGTGAGCTACGAGCATAGGTATCTACTGTTAAGACTGGCAGTCATGTCTTAAATCACTGTATCTCACATATGTTCTGGGGGGATTTTTTTTTTTTTGGTCATGGGGCTTGAACCCTGGGCCTGGGCGCTGTCCCTGAGCTCTTTCACTCAAGGCTGGCGCTCTACCATGTGAGCCACAGTACCGCTTCTTGTTCTCTGGGTGGTTCATGGGAGGTAAGAGTCTCACGGACTTTCCAGCCCGGGCTGGCTTTGAACTGCGATCCTCAGATCTCAGCCTCCTGAGTCGCTGGGATGGCAGGCGGGAGCCACTGGGCCCTGCTTCTCACCTCTGTTTGTTGTAGCCGTGCTACATCTCTGCTTGCTGAACAAAGCCATGATTGAAAGCAGACCCCTATGTTTCCGCACAGGTGTCCTGGACATTTCCCTGGGCTCCCAGTCTAGCTGGCCGGCCACAGCCCGCCGATAAGCCCCTGCGGGTGGGTCGTGAAACGCTTCGTGGACACAGGTACCTTGCTTTTGGGCGGCGGGGTGCTTGTGCTCTTGTCGGTGTGAATGCTGGTAGGAGATACAGAAGCACCGAGGTTGGCCTGGGCTAAGCCGGGCAGCTTCCCTGCTGGTGACACTTGCATGGCGGCTAGCTGGGCAGCATACAACTGCTGTGGGGGGAGAGAGAGCGAGAGGAGGCGCCCGTCAGTAATGCACCCATGCACCTCGGGACTCCACGCACCCCGGCTTTCCTCCGGGTGGTGCTGTGCATGTCCGGAGATGCTGAAGGAAAGAGCTGGTACCTCAGTGAGGCCATCTTACAGCCCAGGGAGCAGGGAGAGAGAGGAGAGGGCCACCTGGAAGGAACGGGCATCGCCCTGTCCTGATGCAAAGTGAGCAGACTCATCGCCAGTGTCCATGGAAGGGGCAGCAGCCTCGCTCCCCGGCCCCCTCCGCCTAACGCTCCCCACTGCGCTACTGCAAATGTGTAATACACTGCATCATAAAAGAATCCACAGTCCCAGTGGCTTCCTTATTTCCCCTACCCATCTCATCCCCCTGATCATCTTTAACTTATTGAAATGGGTCACCACCACCATTTTTCTGAGCATTCATGGTACCACAATACAGGCAATAAGAAAAAGAAGAACTAGAAGTATTGGAACAGCGTTGTCTGGTCAGGCTACTTACACTGATAAATACACACACACACACACACACACACACACACACACTCACAATAGATATAAACTGGGATGCTTGCCAGGAGTTCACTTTACTTCCTGATATAAACAGAGACAAATTTCAAATTATCTTGAGGGGTGGACTTTTAAAGGAAACTCTCTAAGATATACATGCTTCCACTCAGCCGGCACTTAATAATTCTTATTAAGTAACCAAGTAAAGGGTCTTGAGCAAATGGTTAATAAATTAAAAGAAAATTTTACTTTTGCAGCGATAGATAGCCTTCTGAGTCGGTGGAATCCTATTCAAATAATCATATCTCACACTGAGATTAATACTCTAGAGATCTTCATTTAGTACTCTGCGAAGGTTTTAACAGTCTTGGTGGGAAAGAAGTTATTACACTTTACAACACACATGCAAATAGATGCATCCAATAGATACGTCCTCCGATCCATTTGTCTTGAGATTCCATGGGTACCTTTTACCATAGTAGTTGGAACTTCTGTAATAACACAACTTATATAAAGAAGAATCGCTCTTCAGTGAACTAATGTGAAATACTCCCGTAAGTGACTTGATTTTTTTTTCAGAAGAAAATCTTTTTTATTTTTGTTGCCAGCACTGGGTCTTAAACCCAGGGTCTAGGTGTCTGTGGGTTAACTTTTTTGCTCAAGGCTGAAGCTCTATGATTTGAGCCACACCTCCACTTCTGGCTTTCGTTTTTAATAGTTAATTGGAGTCTCACAGAGTTTATCTTAATCCTGAGATCTCAGACTACTGAGCAGCTAGGATTACAAGTATAAGCATCGGTGCCCAGCCGAAGGAGAAATTTCAAGGGATGAAATTTCACAAGGGTTGTCACAGATTCTTAGACGCAGTATAAATGATCCAATGGAAATGGAACCAGCATATATCTACCAGAAAATATGTATATACTGCTTACAGTTTTCAGGTATTATGATCTAAATGAAGAGAAGGCTGACGTGATTATAAGCTCTTTTCTAGAGAAAGAATGAACAATTTTAGTAAGATATAATTAAATTTACTAAATTTACAGGAGGTTTTGTATTAGAATAATGATTTCTTTTATTCCATTCAATCAGAAAGGACTAGATTTCACTCCCAAGTCTTAGATTACATGAAGACTCAAAAAGGTAATTCACTTCAAATATGAAGACTTGCGGAGTTTACTCCTTTTTTAAAAAAATAAGGTCAGAATTGATATATTTTTCTCAACTTGATAAAAAATGAGTGATAGGTAATATAATCCATGATTAGAAGAGGAATTTTTCTGTCACTTTTCTGAATTGTTTATGAAACCATTTATAACATAACTGTGCCCTAGGGGATTAGCTTTCCAAGTTAAAAATACGCACAGTAAAACGCATGAACTGATCATCTTTTTTTAAAATTACACATTTAAACTGACTCAGTAACAATATCATGTCCTGTAAGTTTCACATTGTAGGAATATTGTATCTTTCTCCTTGAAAATGATTCCTGTAGGCATGATTACATTTCTTAAGGTATTTTTTAAAAGCCTATTTCTGGTTCAGCATACATAAAAAAATTAAGATTTTTCCAAGTTACTAGAGAAGAAATGTGATATTCAAACATCTATAGGAATGACAAAAAAAAAAACGTGAGCAAAAGCAGTTCTTCCCAATCACTGCATTTGGAATTCTGAATTGGAAACACACATTATTTGACTCCTGAGGAGTTCACACTATGGAAAAGAAAAAATATTCCCTGCATTGTTTAGATAATAGAATAGTTAGATCAAGTCCTTGTGAAAGGCGATTTAGTGATGGGCAACTTCCAAAGGAAGAAAACTTACTCATGAAAAAAGAAAATCACATATACTCAGAACTTTTGTTCTTTCATTTAAAGGTAAAAGGGGGTGCATACTTCGGATTTGGTTTTCAAAAGCAACATGTTCTCTTGCTCGAATAAACGTATGATTTCAGCATTTTGTGGCCCTAGACATGCCAGCTCCTAGTGAGAGCCACTGCAGCCCCAGACAGATGTGAACTGTAGAGACTGCGGTGTCTTCTACACACAGCCACCTAAGCTTCATCTGTTTCCAGAGTGATCACCAGAATTTACTCTCTCCCATGGACGCCAAAGCAGGGCGACGCCATGAGCTAATGTAGAGGGAATTCACATAGACGTGAATACGTGGCTATGGATATGTGTATGCGTACCTACATCTCCATGGGGTACACGAATACAAACTCTACACGTAGTCACATGTAGAGGGGAGGGCTGGGGTGGGGAGAGGCGGGGGAGAAAGAGGAACTGTCCTCATAATCTGACTTGTGGAATGGAAACCCCTTTGTATGACTCGGGTCAAGTTTTAAAGGAGGTGACAGGAGCCATATTTGAACCTGTATGGACTGTTACTCTTTGGGGCTGGGATGTGGGAATAGTATGATGGTATTTGGACAATGGTTGTTACGTCACCGTGAAATACAATAGTGAGATGTGAACCTTTTCGAGAAGGTGCTAGTTTTACGTACGTATGTTAAGGAAGGACTTTCCAGTGTTAGGAGAGACGCTACAAAAAACAGCCTATTGAAATTCTAACGTGAACCCCACATTAATTGTAGAGATGGTAAATTTCTGCCATTCCGTCCTTAATAGCATATTTTCCCCAAATTGCTAGAAACACAGCTTCTCCACTGGCTGTGAGCCTGGTGTCGCACTGCCATCTGGAGAATTTGGAATCAGAAACTTAGGCACTGACAAAAATATCTACCATTAATTTGTTGTGCCAAACTGTTCACTCCGTGGTAAGTAAACTCCTTGAAGGCAGGGTGGAAATCTGCCGCTATAGTGCTTTCCCCCAACGAAAAATAGAACTGGCAAGAGCAGAAATTAACAGTAAAATATCATCATTAAGTAATATCATTTATTGCTAACCTACACAGAACTCTGGTCTACCCTTAACGTATATATTACATGATCGTTCTACTGTTAGCGAATGAGTTTGGTTCATCAGTAATGCTGATAAGTCCACGTTCATCAGTTTTATTTAGTTAGGAGAGCAGAGAAATATAAATTTAAACATGTGGGATTAGTAGAATAGTGACAGCGCACATGTTTAGCCAGAGTGAAGGCCTGAGTTCAAACCTTAGTACTAACTTTTAAAAAGAAATTTAAAAAAATCTCAGGCTGGGTGCTGGTGGCTCACACCTGTCAGCCTAGCTACTCAGGAGGCTGAGATCTGAGGATCACAGTTTGAAGTCAGCCTGAGCAGCAAAGTCTGTGAGATGTATCTCCAATTAACTAACAAAAAAAAAAGCAAAGGAAAGAGTTGGAAGTAGAGCTGTGGCACAAATAGTAAGAGCACTCTCCTTGAACAACAACAACAAAACCCCTCAAAGATAGAGCCCTAAATCCAAACACACACACACACACACACACACACACACTCACGCACGCACACACACACGCACACACACACACACGTGCACACACACACACGCACACACACAATCTTAGCATAAGAGAACAAGGTATTCCAATACACTTCTTGTAATCAAGAAAATATTTCATGAATTACTTTGGAAATATGAACAGAAAAAAAAATAGGTGAAGACTTGAAAAGGTTGGAGAGAAGGAGAAAATTAGGTGAAGAAAAAATTAAGACCATCTTTCTAATTTAAAAAGTCGATTACTTTTCAAAAGACTACACAGCCGAAATTTAAACGTGCACATTCTTAAATATTTTGAAAAGAAAAAGGAGAAATGCCTCCTTTGAGGCAAATAAATGTATTTAATGCAGAACCTATAATGTCACTTTCTTGGGAGTAAAGGGCAGTTAGGAGGAGGTATGGTTGTGGGTTTTTTTGTTTTGCTTTTTGTTTTTAATACGTTTCTTATTGTGAAAATATTGTACAGAAGGCTTACAATCACACGAGCAAGGTGATGAGTGCGTTTCTTATCGAGGATTGTTCCCTCCTCCTCTGTTTGTCCCCTACCATCCCTTCCCTCCCCCCTCCCCCCCTCTTCTTTGGTATCATATCTCCCTCCCACTTCCCTTTCCTCTTCCCCCCTCTTCTTTGGTATCATATCTCCCTCCCACTTCCCTTTCCTCTTCCCTCCCTGCTTCCCTTCTTCTCCCTTTCCTTTCTTTTTTTCCTCTTTTCTTTATTCATCAATCAACACCTCCCCAACTCTACCCTAGGCCCTCATGACCACCATTCTGTTTTTTCTTGTATGAGTTCAACTTCAAATATAACTGAGATTCCATTTGTCTGTCTACACTTGGATTATGTCACCTAATGAACATGCCGCCCTCCAGATCTGTCCCCCGCCCCCGTTGTGGAAAATGACAAGGCTGCATTCTTTTTGAAGGCTGAATAGTATTCGAGAGAGAGAGAGAGAGAGAGAGAGAGAGAGAGAGAGAGAGAGAGAGATATCCTTTCTACATCAATGTGACTATGTGTGAGTACTGAAGGCTTCAGCGGACACAGCACAG